GTCGGTGGAGCATGGGAAGCTGAAAAGTCCTTGACTAGTGTCAGCACTGCTCAGCAACAACTAAAACATCGGGGTGTTATCAACATTGTTCTCATCCTAAATCCAAAACACAGCACTGTACCAGCTACTAGGAAGAAAATTAACTCTATCCCAGATGAAACCAGGACACTAGCTGTCTTTGTTAAATTTGAAACGGCTGAATTTCTTTACAGCTTATAAAATTCTTACTAATGAATGGCTTTACTGTTCTTATTTGCAATGAAGTGGTTAAGTAACTCCCTGTACAGTTTAAACAGTACTTCTGATACTCCTTGGTACAGTCCTAAGTATTTCCTCAGTCAATGGTTTGAATTGCGATTCTAAAAAATTGGAAATAGAATATATTTGTTTCTTCAGAAATTAGGCCGAAGATAGAAAGTACTTTCATTGCTTTCTAAGAAACCCCCTAAATGGGTCTAAAGGAAGATCTTCCAGCAGGAGGAAGGAGAGATGGAATATACTCCCTCTAAACTATCATTGTATCTGCAGACCCAGTGAAGAATCATTTCATTTGAGATCTGATGGGGATTAATAAATTTGGTCAGTCAGTGACTAGGTTGGTTTTTTTTTTCTTTTTTTGTTGTTAACTAGGAAAACTCCTGTCTATAAGCAGGGCTAAATGGATTAAACACGAGCTATTTCTATGGGAAGACCAGTACATCATTTCTTCCAGACCATAAACACAACACTATCCGCTTCAATACCATCAAAAGCAAGAAGAACTCCCAGAGACATGGGAACTATATGTGGACTATAACTAAGGGTTCACTTGCTTATATTAAAATCTAAATTCTTCACTTCACATAAAAGCGGTAGTTACTAGTGCTTGAGAGTGAAAATAGTGAATTTAGTGTGCATCATAGGCTCTATGGTTTTTAAATAAAAGAGCTCAGAAACCATACCTAGGTCTCAGCCTATTCCTACTTACTGTGAGATCTGCCCCTGTTGTACTAGGGGTGAAACAGCCCTTATTTGTCAACTGGTTATTTACAATATCTGCCTTTTTCAGAAAGTAAAACAGTTCAATTCATTACTCCCTGAATTCTAGATGGTAACTTGATACGTTTAAATAGTACAGAACTATTAGAGTTCAATATCAGAGATGGAAGTCTTGAGAGATTGATACTATTCACACAGTTTGCTTACTGGGGCTGGGTGTGGGGGGGGAGATCAGTCAAGGGGGGGAAAAAAAAAAAAGAAAACAGC